TACTACTACTACTACTACTACTACTACTACTACTACTACTACTACTACTACTACTACTACTACTACTACTACTACTACTACTACTACTACTACTACTACTACTACTACTACTACTACTACTACTACTACTACTACTACTACTACTACTACTACTACTACTACTACTACTACTACTACTACTACTACTACTACTACTACTACTACTACTACTACTACTACTACTACTCCAATCCCACCAATCCTTCTGTCCATGTAACCGCCTTCGATATTCATATGTTGGCCTATTTAACATTGGCATGCTCTGCGGATTTGTAGGCATGCTAGGCAATTTAAATATTATCCTGCAAAGTATTTTGTAGGTGCTTGACTACTATACTACGTCATGTATTACAATTGGTACATGACTTAATAATAGCCGTTTGGCATGGTACAATAACCTTTTTTGTTTTATTTTTTATTTTTAATGGCTTTCTCTTCTTCCTCGGATGGTTTACAATTTGTATCGCAATTATTTGTGGGTTCAGCAATAAAGGATGTGACTACTACTACTACTACTACTACTACTACTACTACTACTACTACTACTACTACTACTACTACTACTACTACTACTACTACTACTACTACTACTACTACTACTACTACTACTACTACTACTACTACTACTACTACTACTACTACTACTACTACTACTACTACTACTACTACTACTACTACTACTACTACTACTACTACTACTACTACTACTACTACTACTACTACTACTACTACTACTACTACTACTACTACTACTACTACTACTACTACTACTACTACTACTACTACTACTACCACCACCACCACCACCACCACCACCACCACCACCACCACCACCACCACCACCACCACCACCACCACCACCACCACCACCACCACCACCACCACCACCACCACCACCACCACCACCACCACCACCACCACCACCACCACTACTACTACTACTACTACTACTACTACTACTACTACTACTACTACTACTACTACTACTACTACTACTACTACTACTACTACTACTACTACTACTACTACTACTACTACTACTACTACTACTACTACTACTACTACTACTACTACTACTACTACTACTACTACTACTACTACTACTACTACTACTACTACTACTACTACTACTACTACTACTACTACTACTACTACTACTACTACTACTACTACTACTACTACTACTACTACTACTACTACTACTACTACTACTACTACTACTACTACTACTACTACTACTACTACTACTACTACTACTACTACTACTACTACTACTACTACTACTACTACTACTACTACTACTACTACTACTACTACTACTACTACTACTACTACTACTACTACTACTACTACTACTACTACTACTACTACTACTACTACTACTACTACTACTACTACTACTACTACTACTACTACTACTACTACTACTACTACTACTACTACTACTACTACTACTACTACTACTACTACTACTACTACTACTACTACTACTACTACTACTACTACTACTACTACTACTACTACTACTACTACTACTACTACTACTACTACTACTACTACTACTACTACTACTACTACTACTACTACTACTACTACTACTACTACTACTACTACTACTACTACTACTACTACTACTACTACTACTACTACTACTACTACTACTACTACTACTACTACTACTACTACTACTACTACTACTACTACTACTACTACTACTACTACTACTACTACTACTACTACTACTACTACTACTACTACTACTACTACTACTACTACTACTACTACTACTACTACTACTACTACTACTACTACTACTACTACTACTACTACTACTACTACTACTACTACTACTACTACTACTACTACTACTACTACTACTACTACTACTACTACTACTACTACTACTACTACTACTACTACTACTACTACTACTACTACTACTACTACTACTACTACTACTACTACTACTACTACTACTACTACTACTACTACTACTACTACTACTACTACTACTACTACTACTACTACTACTACTACTACTACTACTACTACTACTACTACTACTACTACTACTACTACTACTACTACTACTACTACTACTACTACTACTACTACTACTACTACTACTACTACTACTACTACTACTACTACTACTACTACTACTACTACTACTACTACTACTACTACTACTACTACTACTACTACTACTACTACTACTACTACTACTACTACTACTACTACTACTACTACTACTACTACTACTACTACTACTACTACTACTACTACTACTACTACTACTACTACTACTACTACTACTACTACTACTACTACTACTACTACTACTACTACTACTACTACTACTACTACTACTACTACTACTACTACTACTACTACTACTACTACTACTACTACTACTACTACTACTACTACTACTACTACTACTACTACTACTACTACTACTACTACTACTACTACTACTACTACTACTACTACTACTACTACTACTACTACTACTACTACTACTACTACTACTACTACTACTACTACTACTACTACTACTACTACTACTACTACTACTACTACTACTACTACTACTACTACTACTACTACTACTACTACTACTACTACTACTACTACTACTACTACTACTACTACTACTACTACTACTACTACTACTACTATACTACTACTACTACTACTACTACTACTACTACACTACTACTACTACTACTACTACTACTACTACTACTCTACTACTACTACTACTACTACTACTACTACTACTACTACTACTACTACTACTACTACTACTACTACTACTACTACTACTACTACTACTACTACTACTACTACTGAGAACGTTGACTTTATTTGATAACAAACTGGGTGCCGGAATGATGAATTCAAAAAACGGAAGCAAAGAAAGCAATGGTGACAAATCCAATCAAGTATATCGTAGATAGGAATATCAAATCAAATAAATCGGAAAATCCAATAAGAAAATAAAATAAAAGAATCAAGTCAACTATCGAATACCAAAACAAAGAGGAAACCCGCATCCGCAAACACAATCAAAGCAGCACCGTTTACCCAACTCATCCAACAACCCAGACAAGAGAAAACCAGATAATTTACACAAAGAAAACGGGCAAGTCAACCATCAAATCATGACCAACATATAATAGCAAAATTGCTACAACAAAAATACAGACAATATCATGAAACAGTTAGGTCAGGCATGCTAAACAGCCAGGTGGGCACGGGCCCTACACTCCACCACAAAACCGCCATGACCAGCACCCATGAGCCTTCGGCGGTACGAGTGCCGTGACCCCCGCAGACAAGTTATTTGCCAGCGAATCAGGCACACACTGATCCGGGCACGAAGCTGGCGCATGATCAGTGAGTAGGGGAGATCACGGTTCCTCTCACTGATTTGAGCTGCTAACGACTTCAGGAATATTGACGCCTCCGGCGCACACTGCCCATTGGTGGCGAAAACCAACGGCGTGAACGAACCGCGGTCGACGTTGTTGATCCGGCTCGAGTACTGGCGCTTCTTCTGCCTCTCGTTGTCAGACAACTGGCTCGCTACTCCCGAACGCGACAGCAAAGACGGCCTTGGGTGGGTAACCCGAACATCAAAGAAGGCGTTTTGCTGTCGCGTCCAGAAGCCGCGAGCCCGTATGTCTGCACGAGCGGCATCAGCTCTAATACCTGAGACCGTCTCACCATCGAGAGGCAGCAGAACAGGCTCCAACTCGACATCATACGCCACCTCGGACATGGCACTAGCCAGCAGGTCCCGAACCTCTACTACTACTACTACTACTACTACTACTACTACTACTACTACTACTACTACTACTACTACTACTACTACTACTACTACTACTACTACTACTACTACTACTACTACTACTACTACTACTACTACTACTACTACTACTACTACTACTACTACTACTACTACTACTACTACTACTACTACTACTACTACTACTACTACTACTACTACTACTACTACTACTACTACTACTACTACTACTACTACTACTACTACTACTACTACTACTACTACTACTACTACTACTACTACTACTACTACTACTACTACTACTACTACTACTACTACTACTACTACTACTACTACTACTACTACTACTACTACTACTACTACTACTACTACTACTACTACTACTACTACTACTACTACTACTACTACTACTACTACTACTACTACTACTACTACTACTACTACTACTACTACTACTACTACTACTACTACTACTACTACTACTACTACTACTACTACTACTACTACTACTACTACTACTACTACTACTACTACTACTACTACTACTACTACTACTACTACTACTACTACTACTACTACTACTACTACTACTACTACTACTACTACTACTACTACTACTACTACTACTACTACTACTACTACTACTACTACTACTACTACTACTACTACTACTACTACTACTACTACTACTACTACTACTACTACTACTACTACTACTACTACTACTACTACTACTACTACTACTACTACTACTACTACTACTACTACTACTACTACTACTACTACTACTACTACTACTACTACTACTACTACTACTACTACTACTACTACTACTACTACCACTACCACTACCACTACCACTACCACTACCACTACCACTACCACTACCACTACCACTACCACTACCACTACCACTACTACTACTACTACTACTACTACTACTACTACTACTACTACTACTACTACTACTACTACTACTACTACTACTACTACTACTACTACTACTACTACTACTACTACTACTACTACTACTACTACTACTACTACTACTACTACTACTACTACTACTACTACTACTACTACTACTACTACTACTACTACTACTACTACTACTACTACTACTACTACTACTACTACTACTACTACTACTACTACTACTACTACTACTACTACTACTACTACTACTACTACTACTACTACTACTACTACTACTACTACTACTACTACTACTACTACTACTACTACTACTACTACTACTACTACTACTACTACTACTACTACTACTACTACTACTACTACTACTACTACTACTACTACTACTACTACTACTACTACTACTACTACTACTACTACTACTACTACTACTACTACTACTACTACTACTACTACTACTACTACTACTACTACTACTACTACTACTACTACTACTACTACTACTACTACTACTACTACTACTACTACTACTACTACTACTACTACTACTACTACTACTACTACTACTACTACTACTACTACTACTACTACTACTACTACTACTACTACTACTACTACTACTACTACTACTACTACTACTACTACTACTACTACTACTACTACTACTACTACTACTACTACTACTACTACTACTACTACTACTACTACTACTACTACTACTACTACTACTACTACTACTACTACTACTACTACTACTACTACTACTACTACTACTACTACTACTACTACTACTACTACTACTACTACTACTACTACTACTACTACTACTACTACTACTACTACTACTACTACTACTACTACTACTACTACTACTACTACTACTACTACTACTACTACTACTACTACTACTACTACTACTACTACTACTACTACTACTACTACTACTACTACTACTACTACTACTACTACTACTACTACTACTACTACTACTACTACTACTACTACTACTACTACTACTACTACTACTACTACTACTACTACTACTACTACTACTACTACTACTACTACTACTACTACTACTACTACTACTACTACTACTACTACTACTACTACTACTACTACTACTACTACTACTACTACTACTACTACTACTACTACTACTACTACTACTACTACTACTACTACTACTACTACTACTACTACTACTACTACTACTACTACTACTACTACTACTACTACTACTACTACTACTACTACTACTACTACTACTACTACTACTACTACTACTACTACTACTACTACTACTACTACTACTACTACTACTACTACTACTACTACTACTACTACTACTACTACTACTACTACTACTACTACTACTACTACTACTACTACTACTACTACTACTACTACTACTACTACTACTACTACTACTACTACTACTACTACTACTACTACTACTACTACTACTACTACTACTACTACTACTACTACTACTACTACTACTACTACTACTACATGACTTAATAATAGCCGTTTGGCATGGTACAATAACCTTTTTTTGTTTTATTTTTTATTTTTAATGGCTTTCTCTTCTTCCTCGGATGGTTTACAATTTGTATCACAATTATTTGTGGGTTCAGCAATAAAGGATGTGACTACTACTACTACTACTACTACTACTACTACTACTACTACTACTACTACTACTACTACTACTACTACTACTACTACTACTACTACTACTACTACTACTACTACTACTACTACTACTACAACTACTACTACTACTACTACTACTACTACTACTACTACTACTACTACTACTACTACTACTACTACTACTACTACTACTACTACTACTACTACTACTACTACTACTACTACTACTACTACTACTACTACTACTACTACTACATGACTTAATAATAGCCGTTTGGCATGGTACAATAACCTTTTTTTGTTTTATTTTTTATTTTTAATGGCTTTCTCTTCTTCCTCGGATGGTTTACAATTTGTATCACAATTATTTGTGGGTTCAGCAATAGAGGATGTGACTACTACTACTACTACTACTACTACTACTACTACTACTACTACTACTACTACTACTACTACTACTACTACTACTACTACTACTACTACTACTACTACTACTACTACTACTACTACTACTACTACTACTACTACTACTACTACTACTACTACTACTACTACTACTACTACTACTACTACTACTACTACTACTACTACTACTACTACTACTACTACTACTACTACTACTACTACTACTACTACTACTACTACTACTACTACTACTACTACTACTACTACTACTACTACTACTACTACTACTACTACTACTACTACTACTACTACTACTACTACTACTACTACTACTACTACTACTACTACTACTACTACTACTACTACTACTACTACTACTACTACTACTACTACTACTACTACTACTACTACTACTACTACTACTACTACTACTACTACTACTACTACTACTACTACTACTACTACTACTACTACTACTACTACTACTACTACTACTACTACTACTACTACTACTACTACTACTACTACTACTACTACTACTACTACTACTACTACTACTACTACTACTACTACTACTACTACTACTACTACTACTACTACTACTACTACTACTACTACTACTACTACTACTACTACTACTACTACTACTACTACTACTACTACTACTACTACTACTACTACTACTACTACTACTACTACTACTACTACTACTACTACTACTACTACTACTACTACTACTACTACTACTACTACTACTACTACTACTACTACTACTACTACTACTACTACTACTACTACTACTACTACTACTACTACTACTACTACTACTACTACTACTACTACTACTACTACTACTACTACTACTACTACTACTACTACTACTACTACTACTACTACTACTACTACTACTACTACTACTACTACTACTACTACTACTACTACTACTACTACTACTACTACTACTACTACTACTACTACTACTACTACTACTACTACTACTACTACTACTACTACTACTACTACTACTACTACTACTACTACTACTACTACTACTACTACTACTACTACTACTACTACTACTACTACTACTACTACTACTACTACTACTACTACTACTACTACTACTACTACTACTACTACTACTACTACTACTACTACTACTACTACTACTACTACTACTACTACTACTACTACTACTACTACTACTACTACTACTACTACTACTACTACTACTACTACTACTACTACTACTACTACTACTACTACTACTACTACTACTACTACTACTACTACTACTACTACTACTACTACTACTACTACTACTACTACTACTACTACTACTACTACTACTACTACTACTACTACTACTACTACTACTACTACTACTACTACTACTACTACTACTACTACTACTACTACTACTACTACTACTACTACTACTACTACTACTACTACTACTACTACTACTACTACTACTACTACTACTACTACTACTACTACTACTACTACTACTACTACTACTACTACTACTACTACTACTACTACTACTACTACTACTACTACTACTACTACTACTACTACTACTACTACTACTACTACTACTACTACTACTACTACTACTACTACTACTACTACTACTACTACTACTACTACTACTACTACTACTACTACTACTACTACTACTACTACTACTACTACTACTACTACTACTACTACTACTACTACTACTACTACTACTACTACTACTACTACTACTACTACTACTACTACTACTACTACTACTACTACTACTACTACTACTACTACTACTACTACTACTACTACTACTACTACTACTACTACTACTACTACTACTACTACTACTACTACTACTACTACTACTACTACTACTACTACTACTACTACTACTACTACTACTACTACTACTACTACTACTACTACTACTACTACTACTACTACTACTACTACTACTACTACTACTACTACTACTACTACTACTACTACTACTACTACTACTACTACTACTACTACTACTACTACTACTACTACTACTACTACTACTACTACTACTACTACTACTACTACTACTACTACTACTACTACTACTACTACTACTACTACTACTACTACTACTACTACTACTACTACTACTACTACTACTACTACTACTACTACTACTACTACTACTACTACTACTACTACTACTACTACTACTACTACTACTACTACTACTACTACTACTACTACTACTACTACTACTACTACTACTACTACTACTACTACTACTACTACTACTACTACTACTACTACTACTACTACTACTACTACTACTACTACTACTACTACTACTACTACTACTACTACTACTACTACTACTACTACTACTACTACTACTACTACTACTACTACTACTACTACTACTACTACTACTACTACTACTACTACTACTACTACTACTACTACTACTACTACTACTACTACTACTACTACTACTACTACTACTACTACTACTACTACTACTACTACTACTACTACTACTACTACTACTACTACTACTCGGAGGTCGGAGGTCGGAGGTCGGAGGTGGATGCACTTTTCAGTGCTCCCGTGTTCTTTGAATTTGAGTGCCCAGTGTGCATTTCCCTCGGTTCCTTGGCTTGCGGTGCTCGTCGATATCTAGCGTGCTAGCTATCTAGCCATCTAGCGTGCTAGCTATCTAGCCTGGTCATTATCCTTTCAGCGGTAGTCCCTTCAGTTAGGGACTTGGAGAGCATCGAGAGTTTTGCGAAATTTCTAGAATATTCTAGTCCCAGCCGTATTACAGTGCCAGCGTTGCCTTGCTGGTGTCGCAGCTCATTGCGCCCAGTGCTGGCGGGTGCCGTCGCACACACATCTCCAGCTTGTGGAGCGCGTCGGATCAGCTTTCTAATCAGCTTTCTCGCCATGGTTACCGTGTGCATGGGTACCGTGTGCACTGTGCAGTTGTGATCAATCTCTACTACTACTAGTACTACTCTAGCGCTCTGGTGGCATGTCACAGCCCGCTGGTGGATCGAAGCCATGCTGTGTGTGCAGCAAGTCGACTGGGAGCTGCCGTGGCTGCTCGTGTGCTGTGTCAGCCAGGGCCTGCGAGAGCTGCTACCCTGGTCGCGCGGGTAGGTGCCGCAATTTTGGTAATGCTCAGCTGGTTCCGATTGTGCCAGTTGCAGATCCGAATCCAGCATTCCATTCGGATAGATCTCCTGAGAGGCCAGGCTTTTTGGGCAGGCGGCGCCGCTCATCACCTGGCGCTGTCGGAAGGGGCAGGAGTCATGCTCGGGATGGGTCGGCCTCCAGGTCTCCGGTGGCTCGTGTACCGGGACGCATTGCGGCGATGAATGTCCCCAGCCGTGATTCCAGGGATCCCAGTTCGAGGGATGACAGTGCCCCAGTTTCGGAGCCTGTTCCGCGGCCTGGAGCCCCGGATGTGGCACCGCGCTCTGCTGTTGGATCAGAGCCGGTTTCTAACGCCCCTGGTGCACGTGGTTCTGTGCCGGATCCGGGACCGGATCCTGCTGCTGCTGCTGCTGCTGTTACTACTGAGTCTGTTCTCAGCGCATATGAGGAGGTCATCACGTGGCGTCGGAATCTATTTATTGTGCCACATGGAGCCGTGGGTCGGCGGTTTGTGGCTCTACTGGCTGACCTCATGCACTCGTTTGCTGTTGGTGGTGCAGCGCGCCGGCATGCCTGGGCGGCTGTGGTCGTGGCTTCCCAGTTGCTCCTACAGAAGCCATGTGCTACCCAGTACGGGGCTTCGGCACCGCACCTTGATCGTCGTCTCGGCCTATGGGAATCTGGGCGGATTGGTGAGCTGCTGCGCGAGGGACGGTGCCTCCAGGCACATTTGCCCCCTCTTCGGGACTCTGGGCCTCGGGAGGCAGATGGGCAAATTGATGATATGAGATTCAGCAAGCTGGTCTTCTCCGGCAGAATACAATCGGCCATTCGTCTCGCCTCATCAGCCTCGTCCGGTGGGGTATTGGCGATGGATGAGGTCATGGACGCCGACACTGGGAAGACCGTGAGAGATGCACTTCTCGAAAAGCACCCATCACCTGCTAGCCCTGACCCGAGCGTTCTGGTGGATGCGGCGGACAGGCCTGAATGTGATCCCATTCTGTTTGAGAGGCTGACACCCGCCTTGATTAAACGCGTCGCTCGCGAGATGTCTGGCTCATCCGGCCCGTCTGGCCTTGACGCAGAGGCTTGGCAGCGAATGCTGACATGCTACGGAGCTTGTTCGGACCGGCTGGCTTCTTCCATGGCGGAGACCGCCAGGCTTCTGTGCAGGGAGGATGTTGACCCGGATTCCTTGGCAGCCTTCACTGCGGCCCGGCTGATTCCGCTCAATAAGAACCCGGGCGTGCGGCCAATCGCAGTGGGTGAGGT